TATATATATATATATATATATATATATATATATATATATATATATAATAAATGTATAAGAAGCAAATGAGATATGTAAGATATATTGAGATTATCCGCGACTATCTTTATCCTTTCTGTAAAATTGCAGCGGTAAGATTATAGCGAAACGGCTGTGATTGGTCGTACTGGTTCTGCGTGTTCCGTTCCGCGGAGAATTTTCGCCAAAAATGGCGACCTACGTCAAGCTAGCCACACACTTTTCATAATAGTGACCATAAGACGTAACGTAAGAATTGACCATTCATGTTGAGAATCATAGAATTGTAAGGTCACCATTTTTATGAATACTCGACCGCAATTGGTCAATTCTTACGTTATGTCGTATGGCTCCTGCACACAGGACACGATAATGCTTGCCGCGCGGCGGAAGTTTAGCGCGATAGCCAATCAATATGTTGTTTTTTGGTACGAACTAGAAGGTTATTACGGAAAGCAGCATATTGATTGGCTGTCGCGCGAACTTCCGCCGCGCGGCAAGCATTACCGCGTCCTGTGTGCAGAAGCCATTACGGTTACTGTTACAAAAAGTGTGTGTGGCCAGCTTTACTGTTATGTCAATTCGTGTGCGGCGCCGCTTAAAAACCAAATCACACTAGCAATTGACGATTGACGATTGAAGAATAGATTTTGACGAATCAACGAGCTTTAACCTTGGCTTGCTTTATTTCAATTGGTCAAGTTCCAATCTTCAATCGTCAATCATCAATCGCCAATCACTAGTGTGATTTAGCCTTAAGCCTGTATCACACTAGCTATTGACGATTGATGATTAAAAATTGGAACTTGACCAATTGGAACAAAGCAAGCCAAGATTGAAGTTCGTTGATTCGTCAAAATCTAATCTTCAATCGTCAATCATCAATCGCCAGTGCGATATGGGCTTTAGGGCGCTTCACACACAAATTGACATAACGGGTGTATATCAGTTGGACACGGGGCAATTGGACACAGTCCAATCACAAGTCGCTGTTCCAAGGGACCCTACAAATGTCTCTAATCATACGGTGCTGTGATTGGCTGTGTCCAAATGCACCGTGTCCAAGTGCACCGCTCCCAACATAACATATGCGTTGTCTGCAATGGCAGGAGTAGTAGTAAGAAATAAGCAGTAAGCAAATTGGCCAAATCCATTCTCACGATTCAAGAATAATTGATTGTGATTGGTCCATTTACTTACTGCTTATTTATTACTACTACTTGTACTGCCATTGTAGATGATGCATAACGTAAGACGTACCGTAAGAATTGATCAATCACATTGAAAATCATCGAAACGTAAGGTCGCCATTTTGATGAATACTTTTGACTATATAACCATGAACTGCTAGCGGCGATTCTAATGGCTCCTGCACACAGGACGCGGTAATGGCTTCTGCACACAGGACGCGGTAATGCTTGTCG